CGGTTTTTAAGTGACGAAATACACAATGGCTGATGATTGCCGAAAGGCATGAAACTCAGAGTTCCATCAAAAGTTAATATAAATAAATAAATATTGCTCTATTATTTAATAGTATTGAGCACTCTTAAACGCACAAAAGTATTTGTATTATTTTTATTATACCATAATAATACATTTTCTATTTTGAATATATAATATATATATATATATATATATATATATATATATATATATATATATATATATATATATATATATATATATATAAGTATATATATATATATAAGTATATATATATATATATATATATATATATATATATATATATATATATATATATATATATATATATATTATATATATATATATATATATATATATATATATATATATATATATATATATATATATATATATATATATATATATATATATATATACTTATATATATATATATATATATAAGTATATATATATATATATATATATATATATATATATATATATATATATATATATATATATATATATATTTTATATATATATATATATATATATATATATATTTATATATATATTATATATATATATATATATATATATATATATATATATATATATATATATATATATATATATATATATATATATATATATATATATATATATATATATATATATATATATATACTTACACACTTAAATAATCATATACATAAAATTACAATTAAAAATTTGTGATAAGAATACAATAATATTTTAAGAGTTCATGACAATTTTAATATTTTTTGAGCTGGTTCTATATTTGAACGAGGAGTTAAAAGTTTACATAAATTGTTTAAAAAAATGTTTGAAAGAATATTTCCGTGATGTCGATGCATCTCAAAGTTGTAAAACTCCGGTATTATCATTAGAATATTGCTCAATGAAGCTCTGCATACTTTCGTATTAAAAATCGTATTAAAAATTATAAAAGAAAAAATTACCTATTGACAGGTATTATCTGTGGGAATATTAAGTCCACCACAGTTAATTGAGTCTATGTATTGTCCAAACTTTTGGTGGTAGAAAGTTGTTTTTTCTAGCAGCTCATTTTCTGATAGTTCATTATCTTTACGAGTTAAATATCCTGATATGTATATAAGTGCCATATTTGTATCAGAAGAAATAAAAGATTCAAGATTTGGCAGGTCGTCAAATATCTCAGCAGAGGACTCATCCGATAAAAAACCACAATTTCGACAAGAATGGGTTGTATCAAGACATATATCAACAGCTGGGTTATTAAGAGATAGTAAAAGCTTGGCTCTTGAAATATTCAGTTTTTCAATTACCTGCTGTTCTGTTTTAAAATATGTACCTCCGGAACCTTGTCGCAATTTGCTAAACTCTTTTTCCAATGGATCAGTAGAAAACTCACTAAGAATAACATATTGGTGTGAGCTATTCAATAATGAACGACATAATTCAACAACATCATTGCACGTATGGTAAATTGATTGTGCAGTGTCACAAGTAAGTTGTTTCTTCTTTTTATCTTGCATTCCAGCCATCTTTAAAGCTATATTTCCGAAATCAAAAATGTTTTCTAATCTATTATCATTAGGACCTCTAATAACTGCTTGAAGTTCATCATTAAACCTAACATCTGCACCTGTTCCTTTAACATTAAGAACTTTCCACCATGATACGACAATGTTAATAAAATCTGCTGTGTCTTGTCTTTCTTTTATATGCTGCAGTCCTGGATGATTAATCAAAGCATGGTAAGTTTTGTCACAAAATATCCTTAAACAGGTAGACACTGACTGCCTCTCGAATGGCTTCGGAAATATTAAAACTTAGTTTAAATTAGACAATTTAACTAAGTTTTTAGATTCAAGTTCATAAAGTTTTTTCAGGTGATCCCATTGTGCAACTTTTTGTACCCCTTTATCATAAAATATAAGTTGACCAGTTTTTTCAGTAAGCCAATTATTTCTAATGTTTTTAAGCAAATGTACATAATCAAAGATTAAGAAAACACCATCATTAGTCAACCAAGGTTTACTTGGAACTGTGAATTCGAAGATTTTAAAAAAAGCCTGATTAATTCTATTTCCATCACATATTATGGCTTTGACTTGACCCGATGATTCCTTTATTGATTGGATAGTAATGCTAATTTGTTCGAAAAGAAATTGAGAGTTTAATTTACTTATAGGTATTATTTTGGAAATGAACGATGGTCCACCGAATAAACAATTAACCATTAAACCCAATACAGTTTTTGCAAGAGAAGTTGAATCATCCATTGCTTTTCCGAACAATGTACCACCATGATATAACAACATTTTTTTTTAACATAAACCTCGTCATGCAATAACAAACAAATTTTCTGTTTTTCTTCAATAGATTGAAAAATATTAGTGAAAAAAGTTTTTCGTTTAATTTAAGAACTTTTGAAGTTATTCTTGTCAAAGTTCTTACAGAAGGCAATTGGTAATCTGTTCGCAATTGATTATACAAACTTCTGGATGTAGCAAAATACTGAAAAGATCTAATAATAATTTCTTCAGAATAAATCCTATTTCCAACACACTGTGTACCCATAGAAGCTAAATGTTCTTGAATTACAATTTCTTTTCTTCTAGGAATCAAACTTTTTAAATAACGTAGGACTTCTTCTAATATTGACCATGCATTAATTTTTGAAACTCTGTTTTTAGAAATTGTAGGAATTTTAATTTTGACTCCATAGTGATAAGTTTCAAAATGTAAATCGTCTCTAATCTTGATTAAAAAATATGGAACCCCATTTGAATAAGCTTGTGATTGCAAATGAATAATGCTATTAATCATAAAACATACTGATGGAACACCCAAATCTCTTTCATTACATAAAATAATTTCTTTCATTTCAGAAAAAGTTAATCTTTTTCTAAAAAGGCTCATAGTTCATCTTAAGCAAAACTCCGAATACATGAAGAGGCACAATTTGTTGAATATAATGGAGGAAGTTGAGTGGGAATTAGACAAGACTGGCCAAACTGTTAGTGGAAAATTAGGACGATATTTTTCTCTAACTTGTTATTTTTCAAAATTTATTGGCCAATCCAACTCACAAACTACAGTGTCATTAGTTACCTTTAGATTTGCATTTGGAATTACTTTAATGCATTTGGAATTACTTTAATTTGTTTTTCATCTTCATTTTTAGGAAATTGATATACTGAGATCTTTAAATTATCAGATTTCTTTTTAGCCGATAAATAATTTGTGGTACAGCCATAAATACAACACTTTTTACCCATATTTCAATATCACTAAATTGGCGATTATAGTTAAGTACAGTTTAAAATAGACCCCCAGTGAAATACGTTTTTTGCGCGTTGGCAAGGCCTGCAGTATAGATCGCCGTGCACTTATGCTAATGTTTGTAATTTTATTTGGCGCACTTATGCCAATTCGCATTTATGCCACTTCGCACTTATGCCAGTTTATGTAACTGCTTTGCACTTATTCCAGTTTGCACTTATGCAAAATCGAATGTTTATAAGTTTGTTCGGCGTACTTATGCCAATTCGCACTTTTGCCAGTTCGCACTTGTGCCAATTTTTACAACTGCTTCGCACTTATGCCAGTTCGCACTTATGTCATTGTTTGCAAATACTTTTGGCGCACTTATGCCAATTCACACTTATGCCAGTTTGCTCTTGTCCAAGTTTTTGTAATTGCTTCGTACTTATGCCAGTTCGCACTTATGCCAGTTTGCGCTTATGCCAAAATTTGTAAATTTATTCGGCGCACTTATGCCAATTTACACCTAAGTCAGTTCGCACTTATATACCAGTTTTTGCAACGGTTCGCATTAATGCCAGTTCGCACTTATGAAATTTGCGCTTATTCAGCCTCCCGGTTAACTATAAACAACTTTGTTTTCTGTTCGATAAAATAATTAGCTTAGTAGAGATTAAATTTTCGTAGTTTTTAATTTTATTTGAGTTTTTTACATTAGTAAATAGTGATTACATCTAACATTACTGTCATTAAAACTTTTTTTCATAATCATCATTCAAAAGTTGTTGTGGTTTTTTATAAAGTTAATTGCTTCTTTTATCTTACCGCTTATAGAATAATTTAAAAGTTAAAAAATAATGAAAAATTGCTTAATGGAAATTGCTCCAGGCATACGTAACGTGTTCGTAAATATATATAAATATAAATAGCCGGCAGCTCGAAACACTAATGTTTCAGAATTTGAAATGAAGCCATTAGTTAAACTCTATTGTATTAAATCAAAATTTAAATCAAATCAAATATCCGTTGTATTCTTAGACAGGAGGAAACGTTTATTGAACGGAAGGAAGCGTTTATTAATTTTTGGAGATTTTTCCCACCCACCCCAAGCTTATTAGGACTCCCTCGACCTCCCCCTCCACCCTCCTCCCATTTAATAATTTTTACTTGTTATTATCAAATAAACATTACAAAACTAAAAATATAAAATCAGAAAAAATATATATCAATCACTGATTAGAATAAAAACTTTCGGTGTAATCAGGCTTTAATAATCGCCGATTTTAGGAATTTTAATGTCATAAATTTAGGTTTGTTAAAACTTAGGTTTTCGTTTATTTTTCACAATAGTATAAAATTTATTTAAGCATAACTAATCCAATTAAAATTATAATGAAACAGCCTGTTTAAGCCACATTAGAATTAAAATGTGTGTTCTGTAAAAATTCCCACCCACCCTTTTATTTCCTTTTACCTCCCGGGTATTAGATCTGGGCTAAAATGCTCATTGTCCCTTCTCCCCCTTCCTTGTTGAGTAAGCGAAAAAATAAGCGCGATACTATTAACCATAGTAACGCGATACTATTAACCATAGTAGTATTGCATTTAACTTGTTACTTCTCGCAGTAATTTCGTTTGTAATGGTTTTAAGAAAAAGAAAAAAAATTAAAAATATTGTTTAAATAAGTTATACGAAAAAACCCATTTCACATAAAATAAACCTAACTATTATTTAGAGTCATAAAGTTTGCCCAAGATAAACTTAAAGAAAATGCAGCAAGTGAATATAACAAAGAACGATCCCCCTCGGGTCGTCGTGCATACGAAATTGATTGAATACAATGTCTTCTAGATCTTTTGTGCCCACTTGTAAGTGTAACTGGAAATGGAGTTCCATACAACATAAAACCATACGCAGCTAGAAGTCTACAAGCTCTTCCGTTTCCATCAGCAAAAGGATGAATAGTTAATATTTCATAAAATAAATCCATTACTGTTTGAATTGGATCTTTGTTACAATCAAAAGAATCATTAAATTTTTGAATACTGTTATAAACAGCTCCTTCAATTAAATTACTGTCTAAATAAACATAGTTACCTGCATGTGCAGAACACTTACGAAATCCACAAGGTACTGATGCGTTGTTTTCATCAATGGCATTCTTTATTAAAATCTCGTGAGATTTTAGTAAAATTTCTGTTGTTAACCTTTTACCAACATGCAGAGGTTTATTTTCAACATCTTCACATAAAAATTTTAATGCGAGTGTATGTTGAATCATTTGAAACTTAATAGTATCCACGTTGCTACCGTCAATATTCCATTTCGAAAAATTACTTTCAGAATCTTCAGTAATGTTATGATTTTGAAATATAGGTTTCAACAACCGATAAGCGTCTGATTCGTTACATGAAATTGTATCCTCTAATTTATTTGACAAAAAAATAAATTCAATCGCTTTTTCTCTTCTAAATTGAAACATTGACTCATTTAAAATGTTGTATTTTGAATTGTAAGTAAGAAAACTTGACGTTACTTTAACCTCTTTGATTAATTCGTCATATTCATTATATTGCATCCAGTGGCATTTTTTTAAGCGGCTCATTTTATTCATACAGCTAAATTTTTAAAAAGTAAACAATTTTTATTATTCAAATTGAAAAAAAAGTTATAAATATATACACACACAAATATATAGAGTAAAATGTAATTTTGAATGTGGAATTTTCGTAAATGGTAATTTGGCCGCTTTGGAAAATTCCCAGTTGATTGATGTATCTCTATCACCAACTGATGTATATCTGAAGTATCTATGCTGACGTATCTCTACTTTTTTAACTGTGACTTAACTCAGAAACAATTTTTTTTTAAGATTTAAATTTCTATTAGAAGAAAAAAAGTTTTTTATCAACCTATTATATAATATTTAATTTTTAAAGACTTGATGTGAAACTTAATAAGTTAATAGACAAAATCAAACTTTAAAAAAAACAGGAAATTTAAAATACTCTTAAAAGTCTAATTATTTATTTCCGGCAAAAATGTAAAAGACAAAAAAATGTTGGACATTTTTCCGACTAAAATGTAGGACAATTTTCAAAGAATCTGTGAAAAATTTTTTTCTTCCTTCCCATTTTGATCGGTTTCAAAAATACTTTCGGAAATACTAAATTGGGGAATTTCGCCACCAATTTATATTTAATTGAGATGCGTTTTGATTGCATAATTAATATTAATTATCCTCATTTAGTTTTGGTAATTAATATTTCAGGTTATGTTAGTCTTATAGTCAATTAAAATTAATTGAATCGATTAAATATTAACAACAATGCCTCAATACTACAAGAAAAAAATCCATCACCATTTATAATCAAAAAGCCAATGGGAAAAACTATTGCAAAAGTTAAAGCTGGCAAACTAAGTTTCAAACAAGCTACAGAACTGTACAATATACCTCAAAGGACACTAAGAGAAAAAATTCCATATCCAGAAATATACGTTTATATAGATAGCCGGTGCTGGTACCTTAACGATTTATAGCTATGTGACTGAATCCCTTAATGCTTCACGTGTTTCAAGCTCTAGGTGACTGGGGCTTATCGTTCTCTAAAATTCAAACCGTGGTGTACGACTATGTGAAAGCAACAAATTAAACTGTCTTATTCAAAAATGAAAAACCAACAGCCGAGTGGTACTTGACTTTCAGGTAACGCTGGTAATATCAATTAAGTCAATGCAAAGCACTAAACATTTCAGCAGCGACAGCGGCTTCATGCATTAACGGGTCTTTAAAAAGGCTCAGCGTCGTGATTTTAACGTCATCTTTATTTTTAATCTTTATTTTTAACATCTTTATTTTTTTAATTTTATTTAAAGACATTAACTAGTGTTCGGACTATAGTAATTGTAATAAAAACAATAACAGAAACAATAGCTATTTTATTGTATTATTTTTTTAGAAACAATACCTGTGATTTACAATTTTTGTAAATTGGTAATTCAATAACAATAAATATTGTATTGCAATTCAACTTCATAATACAAAAACAATATCTGGGGAAAAAAAAAGTATTGTAATGACCCTCTACAAGCGCTTGCTTTATAAGTAGGATATCAAAGTTCGAAACGAGCTTTGGACATATTTCTCGTCACGGTAAGGAAGGAGGCGTGAACTTTCTGGTTAAATGCACTTTCGCGGTGCTCTCTGACAAGACCGTTAGGACTTTTGGGGCATCTAAAATAACAAATAAAAAAAATAAAAATAAAAAAATACCAATAAATTTTGTATTGTAATTCAGCTTATAATACAATTTATTGTTATTGTAATGAAAAAAATTATTGTAATGTCAAAACTTATTCATATGACCAGAAATACATTGATAAATAAAGTGATATTCAAAAAATAAAATAGAATCAATAATCATATATTATTTGTACCCTATTTCAATAGGGTACAAATAAAAATACAACTAATATATGATTATTATATTGTTATAATATATGATTATTGATTCTATTTTATTTTTTGAATATCACTAATCCTAATTAATTTTTAAAGTTACAATTACAACAGTGCGAACCCTAACATTAACTTTTTTAAACTACTGCAATAAAATAAATTATCGCAAAACAATTTTAAAATACAATGCAAAGAAAAAATACTTAAAAAATTACAAAAAATAAGTTTATAACATTTTTTGTAAAAAAGATTTAAGCTTTGAAGTACCATTTATTAAAAAATATATACGGTTCCGCTTTCACTTGCCTCGTGACAAAAAAAAAATATATACGGTTCCGCTTTCACTTGCCTCGTGACAAAAAAAAAAATATATACGGTTCCGCTTTCACTTGCCTCGTGACAAAAAAAATATTTACGGTTCCGCTTTCACTTGCCTCGTGACAAAAAAAATATACACGGTTTCGCTTTCACTTGCCTCGTGACAAAAAAAATATATACGGTTCCGCTCTCACTTGCCTCGTGACAAAAAAAATATATACGGTTCCGCTTTCACTTGCCTCGTGACAAAAAAAAAATATACGGTTTTGCTTTCACTTGCCTTGTGACAAAAAAGTTAAACGTACAACGTATGAACATTATAGATGCAGTGTTATAACATGTTTACAAGGAATTTACTTTTTTGTAAAAAAAGAAGAGGAGGACGAAAAACCGAGAAAAAAAACGATAAAAATAATCTTTTTTTTTTTTTTTAAATTTTTTATTTATTAAACAATATTTATTAAATAAAATAGACAGTAAACTACGTTAAACCCAAACATCAGCTTTAATTTTCTTAAATTTAAATATACTTGAAGCCGACAGGGAAAAAAAGGCTTATGTCACATTTTCCAATTGTTTGAGTTATGCCCCCTACTATATAAACATAAGCCTGGAGGTTAGCAAAATAATAAAATCCAAACCAAAAAAGGCCTATGTAATGCTACAGAAACACTTAGAAAATACAGTAAGAACGAAATTTGCAATATTCGAAGACAAAATTTCATTTATCTCAAAAGTGGAAATGTGTGACTTTTTTCCCCTGTAGTCTTCATTTATTTTTTAGATAGTATTATCTCTTAGCGTTCAAAAATTATGACCATAAAAAGTTTTAACCCCTCTTAATTTGAGAAGTTTACAAATATTTCTCTCAAATTGAGAGGGGTTTAAACTTTAAATATCTCAAACATCTAAAAAACCGTGGATCCGCCACTGTCAATGTCGTCTGTATCGCTTGTTTCAGTTAGTTAATCAGAATCTTGTAAGCTTTTCAAATCAACTTCTTGATCAGCAGTAGCAGTAACACATTTTCTCTACTTTTGCATGTACTTTGCGAGAGAACATTCTTTTGCATGTACTTTGCGAGAGAACATTCTTTTGCAAGTACTTTGCGAGAGAACATTCTTTTGCATGTACTTTGCGAGAGAACATTCTTTTGCATGTACTTTGCGATAGAACATTCTTTTGCATGTACTTTGCGAGAAAACATTCTTTTGCATGTACTTTGCGAGAGAACATTCTTTTGCATGTACTTTGCGAGAGAATATTCTTTTGCATGTACTTTGCGAGAGAACATTCTTTTGCATGTACTTTGCGAGAGAACATTCTTTTTCATGTACTTTGCGAGAGAACATTCTTTTGCATGTACTTTGCGAGAGAACATTCTTTTGCATGTACTTTGCGAGAGAACATTCTTTTGCATGTACTTTGCGAGAGAACATTCTTTTGCATGTACTTTGCGAGAGAACATTCTTTTGCATGTACTTTGCGAGAGAACATTCTTTTGCATGTACTTTGCGAGAGAACATTCTTTTGCATGTACTTTGCGAGATTCAATAATATCGTTATAGTCTACTTCTGATCAAAGACTATGGTTTCCAAAAATAATAGCGCAATCAGCTAGTGGGTGACTTAAAGAGAGTCGTTTATCTGATAAAATATTTTGACGGTGCTAAATGCCCCTTCGACTTGTGAATTTCACCAAGATATGCACATAATAAGCATTATAAGGCAAGATACATTTCGAAATTCAATAAAATACTTTTGGAAAAAAAACTTTTCATAAATTGCGCACAGAATGGCTACCAAACTTAGTTTGACTAACCACTTTAGTTTTTTCCACTCTTTTAATGCAAAATCTCCTTTAAATCCAGCTTATTTGATTTTGCAAATTGCAAAACATTGTTTTAACAATGTTTCAAAATGATCGCTGATACGGTTGATTTCTGGAGCTCCTGATTCTGAATCACCAATTATCCAATAAATTCGGACAATAAACTCAATGCTTCTATAAAGTACAAATTCTGTAGAGTAGTTGTTAAACCTGCTTGACAATAATAAAGACAGTTTTGAAATTTTTTTTTTTGATAAATTTGACGAGTTTCTTCGATTGATTCATCATAAAAAAATTCACTCATTTCTAATATGACATAAACAAATTCATTTCTAACATGACTATGGCATAAGTACGATATTCTAAGTGTCTTTTATTATCAGCTTTAGCAAATGAATTTTCTACATCACTTGTATCAGTAACCAGGTAGCGGTTTATTAAGCTATCAATTTTTCCAATTGATTGAATTTTGTCATTTCTGGTTATTCGAATTTTGTCAATAACTCGTTAGTTTTAAATATTTTTGAGACTGGAACATTTACTTCTAAGGTGTCAAGATACAAACCAAATTTGTAAAGGAAAGAATGACACTTAAATGATTTTAATAAGCCATTTACTTTTTGCTACAATTTTAGTATTTGTCTGCTCGCTTGCATAATTTCAGTAAGCCATAACAAAAGTTGGTCATGTTTCTAATAAAATGGAAACTCCGTTCATTTTATTTTCAACAAACCTTATTCTTTTAATTTTAGGGAAGTTGTAGAGTGTTATCCCAAGGCATTTTGAAGCTGCTTTTAATTCCACTTTTAACTTACCAGAATTTCTCAATAAACAGTACTTATCAATATAAAAGTTTTCAAACTGAATAAAATTTCTAAATAAGATTTCTTTAAATGCATCTTTTACAACCAGTTCAATCTTATGATTAATACAATGCTGTATGTAATAAAAAAAATTTTGAGTAAAAAATATTTTAAAGGGTTGCTACTGACCCTCG